TGGGGGGAGGGGAACAGCGTTGGAGAATCCGGGAAGGGGAAGACAAGTTGCTGTCCTTTTGTTCTTCGGTCTAGTTGTGGAGGACGTTGCTTCACTGGCCCATGTTGGTATTGTGATCATTGTGCTCTTGCCGGCTGAGGCAGATTGGTCACCAGCCATTGGACGGCCACTCACACTGGCTGCTGACCACTCACGGTAGCTTATGGCAGCCCACTTCAGCAAGGGCTGCAGCCTACGCCATCAACGGTGACTCACAGCAGCCCAGCTCCAGGTCAAGCTGTTGTTCACCATCTTAGCTGTAGAGGGCGCAGCATCACTGGCCCTAATGTGGGATCCGAACCAGCAGCCCTGCTGCTCAGAGCTGTCGTCCCAAGCCAACTCTTAACCAATGAGCCACTCTGCTGGCCCAAGACCACTCTTTAATGCCAGGGAGAGGGGGATCTATAGTGGGGAACCAGATTTACTTTCCACCAAAAGGAGCTTAATTTCTTTAGAGACTGGTCCTGCATTATTTCCTCTTTAAAAACGAGTAATCAACAGAATGCTAATATTAAAAAAAAGCAAGAAAGAGGAATATATTTCAAAATCTGTTAATGCATGCATATTTTTTAATGAACCTTTGTAATCCTATTAGTCAACCAAGTATTTACAGATAAAATGACAGGATGTTTGGCGTTTACTTCAAAAATCCCAGTGGGGGAGCGTGAGGCATCCATATATAGGTGAAACAAGATTGTCCAAGAGTTGATAGCTTTTGAAGCTAGATGGACACATGGGCGTTCATTATATTATTTTCTTTGCTTTGGCATAAGTTTGAAAACGTCCAAAATAAAAATGTTAAAAAATAAATGTACAAAAAATAAAATTGTGGAAGTTTTTCTCAACATTGCCACTTGGATTGAGTATTTTAAAAAAATTTTTTTTTAAAAAGGCAGCGATACATCATCTGGAGCCAGCTTGGTCTTGGTCAGTTGAAAAACAGGAATGTTCTCTAAGGTTAGTAAACTGTAATCAGTTCCACATAGTTTTCAGGCACCAGAGTTTACAAATCACAGCAGTTTTGATTTGTAACTCCATTCATATGTCCACAAGAAATACAGCCTGTGTCGATTTCCCCCTTTATTTGCTTAGCCAAACAATGCTTTTCAACAGCACATTCAGCCCAATCTCAAAACCCTCTCTGGGACGCCATTTTACGATCATTGGCACAGACCTGTCCCTTCCACATTGTTTTCAGGATTCAGAACGTTCCTCCCTTTAAAGTTAGCAAAAATCAGCAGTACTGTGTTTACTTTTATTACTTCCAACATTTGTTGCCTCAAACATAGGGACTCTTTCTTTCCTGAGAGGCCTTTCACCTCAGTCAGGAATGTGCATCAGGCGGCCCTCAGGCTCCTCCTTTGCAAGCTTTTCCCTTTCCCCTCTACACAGTCTGTACCCTCTCAGCTTCCCGGTCACCCACACAGCTGTTTCTGCCTGAGCAGGAGGCCTGCAGGGGCTCCCCGCCATCTTCAGGCCTTCTGGTCTGCCAAGCGCATCCTCCCCTGCCTGGCGCAAGCTCTCCGCCAAGGTTCCCGGGTCTCCGCAGGCTCCGGGCCCTCGCAGTTCCGCACGAAGGACCGCTGTCTGACTGCGGTTGCTCAGCCGCCTGGTGGAGTCCAGTCTTCCTTTTCAGGTTTTCAAGTGATTCCTCCTGGAGATTCCACTTGTCCCACTGCCTCGTCCAGAGGCTGTACCCACCTCTCAGTTCCCGCATTGGGTCTCCTTTCAGAGTTCCATCCCGCTTTTTCTTTTGCATCTTTTCTTGTTTCATCTGAGTCAGATGTACAGGTACTTTTGAATGCAACTATGACCAATTTCCTCTACCTGCCGGAGGTGGTTTTTTGTTTTGTTTTTTTCTTTTTGGCATCTTAAAAACCATTCAAATGACACGTCTCTCTTATCTTAGAAAGATCTGTAACAATATACTCCAGCCAAGATTGCGCTTTTATTCCTTAAATCCTGTTTCTTTGGGTGCCCGCATTCTTCTAAAAATGGCTTTCATAGAAATGTTTGTTTGCTACTTTAGGATACCTTCCATCGCTGACATGCTCTACTTGAGCATGTCATGACCCCATTTGATTTTCTCATCAACTCTGAGAAAAAGTTAGTGTAATTTTAAAAAACAAACACAATTTTATAAAAGAAAGGGAGACACAGAGGATTCATTTCACCCAGATTACAACTAGTCACTGGCCACTCCCTGCTCACTCACTCCTGTACTTATTCACTCCATAGAGATTTAGTAGTCATACATTTTGTGCCATTGCACATCCACCTAGATTTTAGAAATGAGCACTTAAGTATAAAAAGCATAGGATTTATTTAAGAACAAAAAATTTACTTTTCATCTCTTTGCTAAAGTGATTTGTAGTCATTGATACTATTTATTTCACACCACAAAAAAAAAATCAGTATACACATTTGGGTTTCATTGTAAGGCTCTTGCTGAACAAATGTAAGATAGAAATAAAACCGCTAACAAACAAATATAAGATAGAAATAAAAACTCTAGACCAAAAGATTTCATTAGGTAATGGTAATTCTTTTCGTTCCAATCATTGTAAAGAGGCCTCTTTAAGATCAAATAGACTATGCACAAATCTCTTAATGCTACTTAATTAGTTGGGCAGTCACTCATCATTTTAAGCCTATTCCTTCATCTTTAAAAGGAGAATAATGGATTTGCTATATATATATAAAGTGTTTAGAATAGTGCAAGTTACCTGGAAAGCACTTAATAAATATAGCTCCCTTTTTTTCCCCTGTCAACTGTAAATTTATCATGTTATTCACAGTGAGGAGTAAAATGTCTTACTAATAGGCAAACCAGTCTCACTCTGTCCCATCCTGGAAACACTATAAATAAATGACTAAGTATATTTTAGTTTCCCTGTCTCTTTTTTTTGTAGCCTACTATTTGATTGATGTGTTAATGAGAAATGAGTGACAAGGTAACGTGCAGGACAACAATCCTCGGATGGTTGTAAGCCACACCCTGGTTAATCACCCTCACTTCATGGAATGTTGGACTAAAACATTAGCTGAGAAAAATATATTGAGTTTTAGAAATGTAACCTGACCATAATTAGTTACCTTCTTCTTTGCATTTACTACTTACAAGTAGGACAGGACTTCTCTAATTATTTTTAAAAGATTTTTATTGAAACAGAAATTCATACACCTTTCTTTTTGGGAGGGAAGGGAGCAGCTTTCCGACTTGTTAGTTTGTTGTATTATAAGAGGGGTGGAATTACTGATTTACCATTACATCTGTCCCATTTCTACATAAGATTAGAAAATGTATGATTTCAAACGCACCTTCAAAGCACTAAAATGATGTTCCAAATCAGAGATACACTTGTTACGAGTTCTGCAAAACCTTTTCATTAAAAAATGGAGCCATTTGCCTGCCTACACCATTAATGAAAAATAAAAGGCACCTTTTGGAAGTGATTTCTAGTGTGTAAATTTTATATATATATATATATATATATATATATATATATATATATATATATATACACACACACACACACACACACATATATATGTTTAAGATTTTATTGGGGAATTGGGGGAGGGGAACAGTGTTGGGGAATTGGGGAAGGGGAACAGCCAAGTTGTTGTCCTTCAATCTTAGTTGTAGAGGGCGCAGCAAGCTCAACTCCAAGTCTAGTCGTGCCTCTCAGCTCAAGGTGCTGTGTTCAATTAGTTGTGTGTGGGCGTGGCCACCATTCCATGCGGGAGTCAAACCAGTAGCCTCGTTGTTAAGAGTTCAGGCTCTATCCACTGAGCATCCAGGCAGCAGCTCAGCTTAAGGTGCCAAGTTCAGTCTTGGTTGCAGGAAGGCATAGCCCACCATCTCAAACAGGCAGTCTTGTTGTTAGGAGCACTTGCTCTCACCAGCTGAGCCATCCTGCTACCTGTTGGCAGCTCAGCGGCAGCTCAGCTCAGGCACAGCTTACTGGCTCCGCTGAACCAGCGACCGTGTTGCTCAGAGCTCGCACTCTTGAGCGAGCTCTTAACCAACTGAGTCACTCTGCCAGCCCTAAATTCTATTTTTTGATATAAGATATTTGTCATTAGCCAATCCTCTACTTGCTCATAGTATAGATGTGAAGACTTCCTAGTAACTAACTATATACTAAAGTGTCTAGGTTCAGCCTTCCTTCAAGGTTTAAATGATAATGAATGCAAAATACTTTAACTGTAGCACACTGTTCAAATGTTTACTCTATAAATGAGAAAAACATATGGATTTCTGTTTTTAAAAATTACTCAGCCATTTACATTCCAGAACCAGGTCATATTTTGGGGGTGGTCAAATATGTATTTTTTATAATGATTCCTGCGGTTGCAAATGATTTTTGTTGAGACCTAAGAAACTAGACTGTATATTATTAATGGAAAACATACTCTCCTAGAGAAGCGATATTTTCATTTATTCTTTTTTATAATTAAATGTAGATGTTGGCAGATAGGCATTGACTTACATTTGGAAAGTTTGGGATTCATGGGTGGGAAAAGCTCAGAAAACAGATTTCTTAAAAACAAAATTGCTTTTTCTGTAGAATCAATTTAAAAGACACTTTGGAGCAATACATTTTTTAAGTAGCAGAAAAGGTTGTTCTAAATAACACAGGGGGAAGACATGATCTTCCATTACAGTGATAGCACTTAGCCGTAATCATCATGTCAGGAACATTACAGGTAAAAGACAGTGAATAAAATAATTTACTTGAGAAAGCCTGAGACTATTTTGAGTTGTTTGGTCCTGAGATATTTATCAAGCAGGAACCAGTACTTCTCAAAGAACTATAACTCTTAAGGGGTGATTTTTCCTGCCTTCCCTCTTTAAAACTGCTACCTTTGACAGTAACACAAAATGGTAGCTCTTAGTTTTAGTGACCGAAAAATTGATTCTAATTGTCTTCACTGTTCCCTCTTTTCTATCACAGAATCGGAAGACTTTTTGATGGTACAGAGCCCATTGTTTTGGACAGTCTCAAACAGCACTATTTCATTGACAGAGATGGACAGATGTTCAGATATATCTTGAATTTTCTACGAACATCAAAACTCCTCATTCCCGATGATTTCAAGGTGAGGGATTCTTTTTAAATTACCAATAGCATAAGTATATGATTTATTTTGATGTGCTTCCCCCCCCCCAAATATTTCTAGTTTTACATTTTTAACATATAACAACTTCAGTGGCATCAGAGGTTTCTGACTTGATTATACTTTCTTCATGAAGTAGAGTACATGGTCATTAAAGTTTTACATTACTCAAAGAGGACCATTTTTTATTCAAAGAATTGAATTACAATTCACTTTAATTCATAGAAAATAAGTTGGTTAAATTCAAAGCTTATTTCTGATACATCTTAGTGAGATAGCGGATAAAAGGAAACCTCCTTAGCTTAGTAGAGACTTTTTTTCTCCCAGAAATTTAAAGGAAACATTATACTTAACAGTAAAATTTTTGAATTGTTCCCAAAGATAGTAAAAAGTGCTAAAGTTAGTCCCACCTTGTGCTGGCAAGTCTAGGCAATGGAATCAGATAAGAAAAACAAATAGAAAGTGTTAATATTAAAAGGGAATATACAAAAATGTAATCTTTGCAGCTGGTAATACTTCTCTAAAAAGAAAATTCTAAAGAATCAATCAACTAAACACTATTAGAACTAATAAAGAGCTCATTAAAGCATCTAAATTCAGGATCAGTATATTACAATAAATAGCTTTTCTATAGAAAAGCAAGATAAAATGGAAAAAAGGATATAATGGAAAAATATACCATTCACAGTAATAGCAAAAACTATAACACCTAAGAATAAACCTGACAAGAAAAATGCATAGCCTGGTTAAGAAAACTGCAAATGTCTACCTACAGTTATAAAAGAAGAGTTGAATAAATGAAGGGACATTTTGTGTTCCTGGATGGGAAACCTCAATATTGTTAAAATGTCAGCTGTCCCAAAATTACTCTACATATTTAATGCAAACCCATTTTAATCACAGATTTTTTTTTAATGAGATTTGACCCATTTATAAAGTTTGTGTAGAAGAAACAAATGTTTAAGAATAGCTAAATAAATTATTGTGGGTGGTAATAGGGGTGGTAATGGTAGGCAGTGGTAGATGTGTCCTACCAGATGTCAAAACATACTGTAGAGCTACAGTAATCAAAAAGTGTACCGTATTTGCCGGCGTATAAGACGACTGGGCGTATAAGACGACCCCCTAACATTTCCACTCAAAATACAGAGTTTGTTATATACTCGCC